TATTTCCCTGGTGAAAGGATATTGCTTGAGCAATACCTTGCAGGCAGCAGCATCTGTCTGCATGGAAGTAGGTGTTCCTGGGTGTGCTAGCTCAGTCTGAAATTCTGTTTTAGGGGCAGAGCACGGGGATCTCTGTGTCTCACTCAGGGGTAGGAAAAGATCTCTGTCTCACTCAGAGGCAGGAGGAGTGGAAGCTGAGTGAGCCGAGTTAGAGCCTGTAAAAGGCCATACAAGGTTGGCTCATATGATTAAACCTCTATCATTCACATGCTGGGAGTATTTTCATTTGAAAATCAGACTGAAGTATCTGTCAAGTGTGCTCTCTCCAAAAATTGTTAATTAGTCTTCAAAACAGAGAAGGAGGAATTGAAATACTGTGGGTTAAGATTTAACAGGAAAGAGGCTCACAAGTACACACAACATATAGATCTAAAAATACATCTATATATATATATCTATATGCTCTACCCTGCCAGGACAACAAGGGACAGAATCTATCTAATTATTTTTTTTTCTTTTTCCTACCTTCTGGAAGTATAGAATTCCTTAAATATATTGTGGATAAAAAATACTGTTAGAAAGGGTTGTTGGAATACTTTACTAATAGAGAAAGAAATCACAGCCAGCAAAGCAGATGTAATGAGAGTTTCCAGCATGATTTTTTTTTCTTATAGACATAGTGAAAAATTGTTATTGGAAATAAGCTGACTGTTAGTGTTTATCTTCAGAATCTGACTCAGAAGAGAGGCATTGCTGTGTGAAAGTCCTCCTTTCAGTGCATAACTTCTGATAATTATTGCCTTAGATATGATAACTCTCTTTTTTAGGGTAGTAATGCAAAGATTATATAGCAGATCTGTGTTATTTCATGCAAAATTAAAATTCACTGTCAGTATACAATAAAGTAACTTTAAGTTTTGGAATCTTCTGTGAAAAATGTGTTGTCTCATTTTTTAGTAACTGTTATTTTCTTATGTGAAGCACATCTTCCTGTAAGCATAAGCATCTAGAAGAAAAACTGAGAAACTTTTCAGTTATTTCTGTAATATTTTGTGTCTTATGTTTGAGATCACTTCTTCCCTCAACTCTAGAATACAAGCAGTGGGCAGGGTGGGAGGTCAGGGGAAAATGACATTTTTGGCATAACCTTCTAATTGTTTTTATTTCTCAAGTTCAAAATACAGGCCTGGTGGATATGTGATGACTGTGATTTCTGATTAAGGGAACAGAGTTTTCTGAATGCTTCTGTGTTCACCTTCCTGCACTTGTAAGAACATAAAAATTTTTAAAAATAAAATGCCAACAAACAATAAAGCAGAAACTGAAGGGCAGTCAGTCAGTTGTCCCCTGGGACCTCTACCAGATCTACTCCTTCTCTGTATAAATGAAGTGTTTAGTGCTTCAGTGTTTTACATAATGTTTTCTTGAATGATCTGAAAGGGGAAGTAGAAAGCACATTAGTTACATCTGCAGATGATGCCGAGCCAGAGAGCTGCAGCAGCTGTAAGGATGGTGAGAAATTTAAATTCATCTGGGGAGCAGCAACGTGCAGGAATTTACAAAGCTAACAACAACAACAAAAATTAAAATTCACCGTTACAAATTTACAAAATCACCTCGGAAACGTGATCCAAACCAAAGACGTGTTGCTTGTCAGATTAGCTTAGTGAGGTGTTAATGATGTTTTCTTTCACTCCTGCAGTACCCAAGAGCTGTTTATCTTGATATCCCACCCAGTTAACTGTTTGTTATGGTATCCTGATCTTTAACCACTTCCACTGCATCTCCCTAGAACTGTTTGGAGTTTCCCTACTGTGGTTTTGGTGATGAAGGACAAATAACTGGACTGTTTCTTGCTTTAGTTGCAAGGACAATCTTAGCAGTGTTGTGGGAAAAACTAACATCTCCTTTTGAATGAGAATTTAAATTGAATTAATTTTAAATTAAATTTAAATTTAATTTAATCCTTTTCCCCCACAACACTGAATTTTATTAAAATTCTGTCTGCAATTTACACGCCAGTCCCAAATTCAGAGTTCTTGGATGCAAAATTGTGTTATTTTGTCATCTTCTCCTCTACCGGTCCGCTTTCCAGTTCGGGTGCCAGCATGACTCAAAAGCAGAGCTGCCTGGAGATTTCATTTCTCTTGACGTTGTTTTAGTGCCGCTTTGGGAATTCAGTGGGCCTGGCTGCCTTTTTGGCTTATCAGCCTCTCAGCCCCGGGCTCCTGGTGGGGCGAACGCCACTGGGCTGTAATTAGCCGAGATAGCAGCGTTGCTATTGTTAGTGCTGACATCTCTGTGTGTTCAATAGGTGCTGGAAAACAGTTCCATGCTGGAGGAGCTGCCTGCCAGAAGGGGATTTTGGTTTTCGTGTGATGTGCTGTGTGAGGGAGGCAGAGCACCAGCACGCAGTCCAGGATCATGGAATCACTGGGTGCTTTGGGATGGGGGGCCTCTTAAAGCCCATCTCGTTCCACTCCTTTCCATGGGCAGGGACACCTTCCGCTATTTCAGCCTGTCGCACTGGTTTTCTTTCAATTAGGGCTGTATCCAAACATTCTGTGTGTTTCCCTGGAGGTAGCTGGATAATGTGCTCCCCACAGCCATCCTAAATTAAGATTAGATGACTGTGGGAGGAGGGAAGGTACAGAAGAGTTTTGCAGAAAACCTTACTATTTTTTTTTCCTTTTTTTAGTTGATTTGTCAGCACCTGCATGATAATTTTAATCCTCCTGGTGACGGGCTTGCTCTGCTCACCTTTGTAGGCCTCCTAGTAATGGTCCACAGGTCTCAGTTTCTAAGACACAGAAGAAGGACAGTGAATTTTATAGTGAGAAAGTAGGTAATGGTCAATTGCTTTGCATAAAGACTGAACTAAAGGGTAAACTGAAGGTTGACCATCCGTGTTGGACTTCAACACCTGCAAATTTGGGCGCATACCCTGTGTCCCTGTAGCAGCGCTGGGGGTTTTCAATAATTACAGTTGCTTTTGGAGTGTCTGCTGTGTGTCTGGCGTGATTTTGGTTGTGCAGTGGTACCAGGCTTTCAGAATAATTCTACTGCTACTCACTTTGACCTGTTTTAGGATTATGCATTTTTCATTCTTTTTGTGCACTGAAAACTGTAATTTGTTTGTCTTGATTAAATATATTTGCCTGTACCTGATCTCAGTTGAATATATTAAGGCATAAGACAAAAATTATGTGCCCTCCTTGCTATTTCCTTCACGGTAAAAGGTTGTGATCCTATTTATCTGTGCTACTGTGCCTCTCTATCTCTGTGAATTCTTTATCCAAATAGTGTGGTGGTGGCTTGCAAGTGATGAAAAACAGTTTCCTTTACACAAATGTCCATCTTTGTTAATGCTGTCAGACAGCAAGTGTGATGTTCAGGGGGTGCACACCAATCTGTAGGCTACTGATAGTGTAATCTAATTTCCAAAAATAAATTAAAAGCATCTTTTCATCTGTAGCTATCAGATGCGTGCCAGCTAAAGACAACAACGCTTTAGAGACAGCACATGTGTATTTGGTGGCTAATTGGAAATTAAACCTTTGGGTTTTACACATTTTCTGACAGACTGACCTTGCTGAAGGAGGTCAGGATGGTATCATGTGGCAGAGACTTCCCCAGATAAAAGGTCTGTGTGGAAGCACTGTTGCTCATTTCAAACAATGTCTTTGGAAGCTTTGTGAGCAGCTTTTACCTTTACCAGCCAAAATTCTTTTAGTGTTAAGGCATTAGTGAAAGTTAAATTTTAAAAAGTTAGCAAACAATAGGTATTTTTTAAATAGATGTCTTTTATGTAATTTTCCATGCCTTCCCAAGTAAAATGGGGAAAAAAACCAAATCAAACTGCATTTCTGATTTTAATAGGTGAGGTGCCACAACAGAGTGAACTCTTCCCTAGTGTGTACCACTTACATTTATGTTTTTTTATAGGATGCTATAGCTGTATATAGTTACTCAAGCTGAAAAGATGGCTAATACTTCTCTCCACAGGGAAATGCCACAAAATTTATGTCAGTCTTTTTGATAATCACAAGATATGAGAGACGAACCCTTCTCCTTCTTCCACTCCCTCAAACTATTGTGTTGTATATTAATGTGTATCCACCCAGATTTGCATGGTTGTAGCTCAGCTGGCGCTGGTTTGTATGTATGGCTGAGCTATTCTTCCTTTGACATGACAAAAACAACAGTTTTCTGTTGTTTGTCCCAGACCAGGCAAAACAAAATATGTTCAGACCTCCTGTACGTCCTGTATGGCATCCCCATTGCTGAAAACACACAGTGGTTCATTACAGATCCTTTAATCTCACTGAGTTGATGAGGCTGCCTGTTTAATTGAAGGAGTCCTTGTATGATTAAGAACTTACTGTCTGAGCCCTGAAGGTGGCAACTTGTTGGCTAGATTTTTCATATTAGCTTCAAGGAATCCCAGAATAGTTTGGTTTTGGAAGGTTCCTGTGGAGCTCCCTCAGCCCAGGCCGTGCCCAGCTGGGGCTGCCATGGCTCCACACAGGGACACTCCAGGCCCTCCCTGGGCAGCTGTTCCAGGCCTCTGCCCCTCCATGGACACAAGTTCTTCCTCCTGCCGGGCTGCCGCTCGCTGCCCTTTATTTTATTATCGGCAGCGCCCAGCAGAGCCCGGCCCCGTCCTCTGGCAGCCCTCGGAGATGTTTGTGTGGATCCACGGGATCCCCTCTGGGCCTTCCCTTCTCCGGCCTGGCCGGGCCCGGCTCCCGCAGCCTCTGGCCGGCCCGGAGCTGCTGCAGACTCCTTCTCAATATTGTGGCCCTCTGGAAATAATTAGCATGTAGATCATTCCACGTATTTCTCCATTCTCTGCATGACAAATTTATTGTCCCCCTTTGAACTGGAGGGCTGTAAGGTATTTCTTACACTTATTGGAGATGTGTTCAAGTTTACTAGAGCAAAGCCTCAGCGAAGTTTCTTGTACAGTTGAAATAACTCATTCTTTCCTTGTGTCCCAGTTCAGACTTGGATCTCTGAAGCTGCAGGAAGTCCCAAGGCCAGCAGAGGTGGTCAAGGAACTCCTTGGTTACTGCCTGGACAGGCTGGGAAAGCTGCAGGCCAAAACTGAGCATCTGCAGAGAGAAAATGAAAAGCTTCTCAGCAACTGTAGCGATGCAGAGAAGAGGTGAGTTCCCAGATGGATCCACAGGTGACACCTGAGAAGCTCAACAGCAGAGGACAGAAATTTTTATGCGTTTGAGACATGTTTTGAGCTCAGTTACCCACAGCCCATGTGGTTGTGGATATCCTCCCTTTGACAGAGATGCAACTGATACTAAAAAACTTGCAGTTAAAGGTGGTTTTAGCTTATGAGTTAGCAAAAACTCCCAAACACCTAAAAATCTGTGGAATTAGTTTAACTTTCTTTAGGAAGCCTTTTCATTAACATTATTTTTTGTAACTCTTAGGACTGGCAGTGTAAATTATATACATTTTTGTGTGGGGAATAAATTGCTGTTTCTTTCATCAGTTTTCTTTGTTGAAGAAGCCGGAATTGAAAAATGAGTGCAGTATTACAGGGAAAAGTACCATTATTTTTCAAGAGATTTTTGTAATTGCTGTTGAATTTACAACCTAAATTGTCAATCATTCTGTAGTGAAATAATCTATGCTTGTTTCACTGATCATAGAACTCTTAGGGCAGAGCAGTCAGAGATTTATCTTGCTTTTCTGTTGCTTTACCTGAAAAAACACACGATCTAGGAAGATTGATGAAAGAACGCAGCTAATTTGTGTTAATTTACCTTGAAAAAGAGAGCCAACTTTTGGGAGGAGTTAGTTTTGTTTCCCTCTCATTAAAATGAGTAACAGTTTCTCCTGACAGTCTGCCTGACAAGCAAAGGGCCTCCCCTAAGTAGTGTTTTACTGCTTAACAGTGTAATTGAACAATAGTGTATTGTATAACCCGTGTTCTGTACTGCATTACACGCTGATGTGTAAGAGGCATTAGTGCTTGTATCAATTTCCATGGTGGGGTGGCACTTTTTTACAGAGTAACCCCAAAGAAAAGGAGGAAAAAGGAAAAAAAAATATATATATATAAAAAAAATCAGAGCTGTGTGACTTTGTTCTCAGTGCAAGCTGGTGGATTTATTTATCATGTTTATCTTTTTGAGTACATGAAAAATGGATTTTCAAAATATACAGTGAAGGTTTTATGGTCAGCAGTCTTCGGCCATGTCTGTTAAATGCAGAACAACAATAATTCATAAATAATTTTCATTCAAGAAGTAATGAGCTTTTTGTTTTTTGGTTTTTTTTTGGGGGGGGGGGGGTTTGGGGAGTTTTTTTATTTGTTTTATTTAATTTTTTTAAATTAGTTCGGCGTAGTGTTTTTTTAAAATTCTTTTTACCACAGCCCAGTTCTAGCCTGCTGTCTCCTTTTGCTGCTTCAGCTCCAAATGCTGAGAGTTGCCCCGAGCTGAACAAAGCTGTGCCTGTCTTTGTTCAGGAGGCAGGATTTCAGGATTTGCATCCTGCACCACTCACGGTGCTGAGTGGTGAAACATCAAATACGGAGCACGTGGTGTGGGGAATTGCGCTCCTGCCTCGCCCGCCAGCCCTGCAGCAGCTCCCTCTGCCCACAGCCTCTCTCCTCAGGACTTCATTAGAATTAAAACATAGCAGGCAGGCTTCTGAGAGCTGCTTTTGTGCCCCTTAGTCGTGGGGCACTGGGTGGAATTATTCAGTCATCCCATTTCCATCTCCCTGTTTGGATTTTCTTGCCCATCACGGAGGTTTTGGTGAGCGAGTGGCTGCCTGGGGTTGGGTGTGTGTATCTGTGTGTGCACACCTCAGGGATGGATGAGTTAAAATGTCAGTGCAGAACAGCTGCTCTCTTTATTTCATAGAGAAAATTCAAGGCTGATTAGTTCCAGGTCAGGTTGGACACTGGGGCTTGGAGCAGCCTGGGATGGTGGAAGGTGTCCCTGCCCATGGAACTGGCTGGGCTTTAAGGCCCCTCCAACCCAAACCCATCTGTGATTCCCTAATAATGGAGGTGGCAAATTTTAAGTAATAATAACCTGTAGCAAAATAATTCCTTCAACAATAAAAATCTAATTTCTGGTTTGGGCCTGGGGTCTGTTTTTTTTTTATCAGGTGTCTAAAATTTGTGTAGACAAGCCAAATTCAAAATAGCTGCCACTTTATGTTGTGGTCAACTGCAGTGACAGTATATTTAAACCACAAGCAGATTATAAAAATGCAAGCTAGGTACTTTGGGCTTGAAACTGGGTCTTCAGCATTAGCTCATCAACATTCCATACCATTGCCAGTGCTGGGGGAAGGGTGAATCTGAAATGCAAGGGAGCAGTGCTGTGAGATCGGGAATTATTTTAGAGCACTGGGAGCAGGGATGAATACCAGAGGTGCTGAGTTCTTTCCTTCTTAGTCTTGGATTGTGAAGGCTGCCACTAATAATTAAAGAAATGCCATGTTTCATGGCTCACATTCACCTCTGTAGAGCATGTGTGATTGCTCTGTGTTGGGTCACTGCTTGAAATCTTGCTTTTTATTATGAATTTCTCAGTTCATTGTTTGTCATAGTCCCTGCCAGTGTGTGTTTTCAGTGCAGGATTTTGGATCCCTGTCACCTTTGGCTGCAATTTGGCATGTGAAAAGCATTTCAGAGAGACCTGAGGATGCAGAAATTGGGAGGCAACACTCCAGCAATTAAACCCCATTTGGGTTCTTGGTGTCTGTGAGATGAGCAGCTCCTGCATTTGGCCTGGAGAGATGGTGTTTGAGGCACACAGGGTGCACACAGGCAGCAGCACGTGAGGAATGGCAATTAAAGTTTGTGTTGGCAGCCATGAAACCCAGCCAGCTCTGCTCTGTGCTCATGTAGCTCAGGTGGTGAATGCCTCAGTGGATGCTCACCACCTGCACAATTTCTGCATCTCTGTCCCCAAAACCCTTGTCTTTTGTCAGTCTCTTTTAAAGTATCAGATGTGCCATATAGCAGTGTATTTTAAAGGCTCATAACCTGCAAGTACAGCATTAATGTGGCACTTTTGTGATATTCAGTGCTTTTACATTGAGTATTTTGCCAAATTACTGCCATTCTGTGTCTGGAGAATGCATTTGGATGTGGATAGCTTTGAATAGCGGGAAAAAAAAATCAACAAAAGGTGTTCATGTAAATGAAAACAATCATATGAGATTAACTGATGGCATACTACTAATGGGTTTTGCCCAGAGGGAAGAGCTAATATTCTAATACTAATATTCAAGATGCTGACTTTTTTCTCCAGAGAGTGAAGAAATTGGCTAGTCTTGCAGTAGGTTTCTCCACTGTACTACTCACAGTCCAGGCAGCATCAGCTTTACTTCACTGGAAGTTTCCATTCACATGGGTTTTCATCAGGGGATGTCTTTGCAGCACTTGAGGGCATCACTGAAGTTGTCTTAAATGGCACTTTTTTGGCCAAGTCAGCCACATTTCTCATTGTTTGAATCAGCCTCAACTGCTCCAACACAAGCCAGTGCCTTGGCAAAGTAAAGGCAGAGAGCAACCGCTTTCCCTGGTTTATGTGTGGGAGAGGGGATTATTCTACAGGATTTGATACAGACAAGATTAGCATATTTTAGACAAAATCCTTTTTTCCCCCCATTTTTATGTATACAGAAATAATTAGTATCAAGCATGTCCAGGCTCTTCTGGGCCCTGCATTAGAGTTTATGATTCTTTATGAATTGTCTATTTATTCCCCAGTTAACAGTTAACTTCCCTTTTGTAGGTGGAAAGTCTCCTGGTAGTTGATTAGTACCTATGATCTTTCATTTAGGAATTATTGAACTGATCTATATGGTAATGATGTTCTGCTATTTGCATTTAAATTAGATGAATTATTTATCAACTATCAAGCATATCCCTAAAGCATTGAACAGTAGGCTTAATACTTCATGAGATTTTTTTTTTTGCTATTGTCTTCCTTCTTACATCATATATGGTTTTGATCTGTGAACAAAATAATTAGTATTTATGTAGGAAGTCTGTTGAAATCTCTTGCCTTATAAATTAGTATTTTTAAAGTCTGTTGCATTAATAGCATAATAAGCCTTCTAAACTTTTTTACAGCCTTACACAGGCTGTTGAAAGAAATGTTTTTAAGTTATGACTATTTACTATATTTACCATGATCAGTAAGTTTATCGAGATGTTTATTTGCTTCTTGTGTACACAGCTAATAAAATGTTTGTGGTTCAACCCAAGAACTGAAAGGTTATGAAATATAAGAATTAAATACAGAATTACATTTGCCACAAATCACTTAATTTGTTGTGCTCAGGTTTGCTTGTATTCCAGTTTTTCTTATGAGACTTTATACAACCATATTCTTAATTTAATACTCCCATTGTGCTTCCTTTTATTGACATTCATCTACCCACAGGTGCATACTAAAATTTTTTAAAACCTGAAATACATTTTCCTCTGAAGATATTAAGATCTTCATATTTTCATATTTTGGTATTTTCTTTTCCTCTTCAAATATATTTCACACCTGTGTGTGGTCCAGATTTGAGACCTGTCAAGGTGAATCATATCTGTTTATAATTTCATTATGTCTGTCCTGCTAAGGTATGCCCACTGTTGTGATTCAGCATTGAAAATAAAGAACATTTGCCTATTTAAATTTTAGTTGTTTCAGATGGAGGTGTGCAAGAAGCTACCAAAAAAAAAAAAAAAAAAAGGCATGAGGAGAAAGGAGATTCACATCTGGGAGCTTTTACCTTTTGGAAGCAGAGTTCATTGCACTTCTCTGTGGAAAAACAACAAGAAGAAAATAGCTTATTCTGGCCTGTTTCAGACACAAGGTGCTGGAGCAGCCGTGCGTGGTTTGGAGTGGGGATTCCTGGCTGGCCTCATGACAGAATTGTCTTCTAGGAAACAGAAGAGCTGGTGTAACAGTTAATTTTGTGCTGCAGGCTGGAAAAATGCGTGGAAGCTAAAGAGGAGCTGGAGGCAGACCTTTATAGCAAGTTTGTTTTGGTGCTGAATGAAAAGAAGGCAAAGATAAGAAGCTTGCAGAAGTTGTTGAGTGAAGCTAAAGAATCTGCAGTGGATGCCAAATGCGCAAGGTATTTAATTTCCCTGAGTTTCTTGGTGTAGTACTTGGTGCATATTTGAGTTTAGCTTAGTTCAGTTTCCATTTCCTTGGCCCTGACAGTGAGTGACAGTTCTTCCTGGCTGAGTGCTGGGTTATCCAAACCAATCCTGGAAGTCATGGAAGAGGAGGATTCTTTCTGGCATCCTTGGAAGCAGCAGCATATTGCTGTGGGTGCTGTAGCCAAGAAGTGAGTGTTTGATGGATCTGTCCTGTTTTCTGCTGAGCTGCAGCTGATTTTCCAATCAGATCATGTCTCTGCCCTTTCCATAGGTTGTAATTCTGTACATATTCTCCCTGAATTATTTAATTCCTTCGAGAAACAAAAATATCTTCATTTCTTTTCCTTTCTTTTGATGTTTTTAGGGATAGTATAGCTACTACTCAGATGGTTATAAAGAGGGAAAAGAACTATGATGCCAGCACTGATGAGGAAAGTGAAAATCCAGCATGGGCCTCGTTGCCATCAGGTAAGACAGAGAGCATTGTCTTTGTGTGATATCACAGACAGGCTTTGTGTGAATAAACCTTAAGGAAGGCAAAATACTACCTGACAGATTGCTCTGTGACAAGCCAGCCAGCAAGCCTTAAAAATACCTCTCCTGAAGCAGAGTACAATACTGGCATTTTCAAATTAGAGTGGGGAGGTTTAAAAGTATGTTGCACGAGTGAAGGCACTGTCATTTCTTGCAAAGTGACAAATTACACACTTTGTGGAACTAATGACAGTCTAACAGTATCTGAACCATCAACAATTCCATTTTAAATTCTAGGAATCATGATGTGTGTGCCGTGATTGATAAAGTGCAAAAGGTAGCTCCTGACAGTTTCAATAGCGTTTAAAAAGGGGAAGGAGAGGAGATTTAACAGCTATAAAAAGAGCTGTGTGCATAAATGGAATGAAAATGTATTTATAGCAGAATCCACTTTAATTTGTCAGAGAATTTTTGGCCTTGTGAAGATGCTCATGAAACTTAATCTGATTAATTTTTCCAGGACTAGAGCCTTGTAAAGTGTGTGGGATGCAGTGATGGCCCATTATAGAGTACAAGATACTTAACTGTGAATCAGAATTTTGGCATGTTTGTGACAAATGAGTGGGAATACATGAGGCAAATGCTATCCAAGTTGCAAAACTGCATTGAGAGTTGCAATATGGTTGTATAAATGTATAGATATATACACATATGTGTACAAAAATACATACATAAACTTCCCTGCAGGTCTGCAGAGTCCTCTATGGGCGTCTCACTGGGGCTTTTTATTTCCACACAGGTAAAGGTAATCAGACAAAAATGTGTTCCTGTAAAATAGCAATTTTCTGTGCTCATTGGGAACCAGAAGTGTTCAGGACCCTGTTGCCAGTGGCTAACAGCTTTGTCACTCATGTGGGCCTGTTTGCTGGAATTTATGGCTTCATATGAAGTGGGCAGAGCTTCAGACAAGTGGAGGAAATTGTGATCACAGAAAGAAACCATCTAATGTTGCTCTGTGCTCTCCAGAAGTCTTTGCTGTCAGGTGGTAATTGCTCAGTTCAGGTAACATGATGAGAAATACTTTGTTCAGTGAAAAGGTAGGGAAAACTGGAAGGTGTTTCTAAATTCAGTGGGGCCTAACTAGCCCAGTGTGAGTTTTGAGACAGAGATATGTTTTTAATAATGAAAACAACACCCACTGCCCTGCTGAGGCCATCATGAAGGACCAGTCTGATCAGTGTTACAGGAAAACACACTGTGCTTTTATTTGAGGTGCAAACAGAAAATGTACTTTCTTTTGCCTTTGAGGGATGCCATCCTCGGGGTTTTGGTCCTGAGTGGAAGAGTTCAGATGCAAAATTTGCAGATGACATCAAGACCATGAAGTAAATGCTTTGGGTAACACACTTGAGTTTTTCAAGGCACTGCTGAGTATCCCTGAGGTCAGTTGGTGCTTTTCCTGTGTGCACAGCTTTCTCTTTCAGTGAACAAGGGGAAAGCACCTCTGGGTGCTGAATACCTGCAGTCTGCCCTAGAATGTTCACACTCAAAAAGAGGCAAACCATGTCTTCATGGAGAAAATAGTGATTCAGGGATGAGTGGAATGAGTGGACAATGAAGCTCAAAGCTGCATGAAGCATCAAGGACTGTAAGACATAAAAGATCAAACAGATAATATTTGGGTTTTTTTTTCAGTTTGTCTTTGTTTTCCTATCTTCTAGTCCATCATTGTGTTTCATTCCCTTTTGGACTTGAACTGTCATTGCAGGAGTCAATGAGAATTAGAAGATCATTGGGGTTGTTTTAGTAGATACTGGTGAAACCCACAATCAAAAGAGAAGATCAGAATTAAATCACTTCTTTGAAGGAAAGTGAAGGCAGGTGTGTGTCTGCACGTGTTGATGCACACAGTAAAAATGTGTTTGTATACGCAGATGTCCAAATAATTCACTATTAATTGAAAAAGCAGCAGTGCTCAGCAGGTGATTGTGTTAGTGTTGGGAAGGGAAAACTTGGGGAGGTTCCATCACAACATAATTCTGATCTAGCAACTCCTGGGGATGTTACACAGAAACTATGAAATCCAGTCACTGCAAAATCAGCGAAAAAAATCAGGATTTATTGAACTGCAGAGTTTAAAACTCTGTCTGAAGGTTTTTCTTAGCCACCAATAGTTGTTCTTCTCCCTGAATTTTTGGGGCACTCAAATACCATGGTGTTTCAGTGGATATGGGAGAAAAACCTGCTGATGTTTATTAAAATAAAATGGAATGACTTCCCTAGTTATTAGTCTGGTGTTGATCTGATGCAAATATTGTAACAAGACCCAGTGAAGAAAAATACTAAGAAAATTAAGTAAGAATGATTAATTGCAATCTTTGTAAAGGGGCAGAATCTAAAAGTTTACCTAAAATTTCTTCTTTTTTTGGGATTTACAGTACTGTTTGTAGGTTTGAGTTATGGTTTCCTTTCTCACATCAGTTTCTGCTTCATAGCTTAAAACAAAGATCAACTCAGACATGGTAGTTTTTGTCTTGCCTACACACCAATGTAGTTAATGCTTTGTATTGTAAATTAAGAAATTAAAATTGAATTAGTGAGTATTTTAAAGCACTCAGAAATACAGCTGATGAGAATTACACCCCTTAGAAATAGTGCAACATTTATAAATAAGAATACATTTGTAGATAGAAGAGCTTTTCCCGTCATGCCATGAGCAAGGGAGGAATTTATTTGAAGTCTTATTTAGGGCTATGAATGTGAGTTTGAGAAAGGCACAGAACTCCAGCTCTCACTGCAGTTTAATAAATTCTGAGGCAGCAGCTACAGATGACATGTCAGGTCCTTGAAATGCCTGTGGACTCCTGCTTGAGAGAGGAAGGAAGAGGTGAAGGAAATCCTGCTGGTGTTCATGGATGGAGGGTCGGGAATGTTTCTTGGGAGCAGGACAGGGTTGGTTTTGATTCTGTGAGTTACCAAAGCAAGGTGTGTGTAGTTTTTGTTTTCTCTGCTGGTGCTTCAACAAAATTCCCCTATCTGGAGCAGACCTGGAAATGCCACAGGAGGTGTGGAGTGGGATGAGGCTGTGGTTCCCTTCATGTGCTGGTGCCAACTGGACACAGTTGTTCTTTAAGGGGAAAATAAAAAACCAAACCACAAACCCCAGAAGTTGCCAGCCTGTGTTTCTCTTAGCCCACAGGAGTGAGTGGGTGACTCAGCATGATGCCACCACACTGATGCAAGATGTTTCTGTCATTTTAGGATACAGAAACACTTACTCTGGTTAAGGACAACCCAGCTGTTACCAATTCCTCTTTCTTCCCCTCTGCACTGAATTTTACTGGTTTACTGCAGCTACTGAGACCTTCCTCCTAGGGATCCTGAAATGGCAGTATCAGACTGATAAATCACAATTTGATATCATGGTTGGAAATAATAGTTTTGTGCTGCGAATCAGCTCCTTTTATTAACTGAAAAATGTTTCAGTGGTCCATGTGTCAGGAGGCTTTTAAAACATTAGCAAGGATGGGATAAATGTTCCCCCTCTCTGCTGCTTTCCCAGGAGTTTGAAAGGTGGATGGAGGGTAATATTTTACTCTTCACAGTGCCTGGAAAGTGACCAGAAAAGAGAATGTTATTCCTCCTCCAGGTATATGAGAAAACTGCAGGGAAAGATTTAATTATTGCAATCTATTGCAGATAGGGAGGATAATGTAGCAGGTGGGATGTAGGCAACAGAAGAAATTGTTTTATGGTTTATTCCTGTTATTTCCAGTTATAAATGCTATAATATGTGTCTGCCTCTGGACAAAACAAGTCTGCTGTGCACCACTTTACAGTCAGCTTGCATCCTGTTTTATTTTCTCTTGTCCCTAAATTCTTTAGTTATATTTCACATTATAATTGGTAGAAGTTACCTCTCCTTAGGGTAAGGAGGGATGTCATGATCTGCCCTGCTGGATCAAATAAAATTTTATGATCTGTGTTTCTTGCTGAAGTGTGTGGAAATATTCCATATTTCCCCAGACATTCAGTGCCCACACTTTTCTGTGTGTTTGATGACAAGGACAGGTTCAGAATGGGTTGTATTAACCTCTTTGCAGAGCCCACAGTAAATAAGAGCAAGCACCTTGCCATCTCCCACTGCCTCATCATGCAAATGTTCTCACCCCCTCCATTCCAGCTTCTGCCTTGGGGATTGTGTGTTATGCCCTCAGGACTCCATGGCCTTTTAAATTTAATTAGCTCTCCTGTGTAGTCCAATCCACTGATGGCTTGGTGCTGCTGGTTAATAAGCTTTGATCAAAGTTAGTAATAATAAAAAAAGCCTGTTGTAACAGCACCCGGCTGTGCCGTGCAGTTATGGTTCTATCTGTGGAGGTTTCTCTTTAAAAGTCTCTTTTTAAGGAGTTTCAGTACTTAGCCATTTTAATTTACCTCGGGTTTAAATTATTTCTCCTTTTGTCAGGCTGTAATTGTAAATGGTTCATCCCAAGGAATAATCTCATTTCCCTTTCCCTTAAAGCTGTAGGTACCTTTTTTTTTCCCCCTGAAACTTAAAACTGATTTTTTTTCCCCCACAACCTGATGGTTGTATGCCCCTGAAATACTTGTGGTTGCCAAACTGGTTTCCTCCTGTGTTACACCAGGTGCCACGTTCAAAATACATTTACAGTACAAGTATCAAGATGTTCCATGCCCCTTTAAAAATCCTGCTGCGAGTATATTGCACTAAGAGGGATTTACAACATATTACTTTGACATTTTTCTATGAAAATTATCAAAATTGCTTATATCTCTGCATATTCTCTCCACACCTTCTTATTGTTCCTGCTTCAGCATACAGAGTGGTGCAGCTGAATGTTGTTGCCTCAAAATGAGTTTTTATTCAGTGAACTGATATAACTGACACAGTCAGATTTACGCTCTGCTAAGCCTAGTGAGAGTTTGGTGATTGATCAGAAAAATTAGAGCTGTTAATGATCACACTGCAG